AGCAACTCTTTAAACTCTTTAATCCTTATTTATTATTTACAATTGAAGGGGGCTCCTCCTTACTTCCACCTCCTCTCTGAAGTCATCAGTAACAAAGGAAAAAAATGATCCAGTCACTTTTATTCATCATATCAGAGCAAATTACGCAGCAGAGGTCACCAGTGTTTAAATTTCACATTCATGTCATGGCTGTGGTTTTTCTCACAGAGCCCTGAGTTTGAGATAGAGAAAGTAGCATCATGGAGGTTTTGATAGTGTTCATGTAAACCTGTTGGTAACATTGAACTTGACAGTAAATCCTGAGTCATAAAGAGACTGGAAGCCTTCATGCTACTGTCACCCATGAGGTTTATCAGGGTTTTTATTGAATACATTAGAAATGTTCATCCATTCACTAAATTCTGAGCAATGCACAAATGTCCTTGTGATCATAATTGTAATTATCCCACAATCATACACACACAGCAGCACTACATGCGAATGGGGAAATTTGAGATCTGCTTTTAACCCATCTGTGTGAACACAGCACACGGAACACAATACACACAGTGACCACACAGCAGTGGGCAGCTATTGAAGGCACCCGGGGAGCAGATGTTGGGGGAGTAAGGTGCCTCATCTTCTCATTCACACCAGGTAAACAGCTGCCAATCACCAGTTGACACATCAACAATGTTACAAAGTCTTCAATGTGTCCTCTCTTGCATTGTGAGCTTTGGTTTTTTTTCAACATGCAACCAGCATTGCTTTAATTTCAACAGCTAATACAGGACTGAGCACAGCATCATCAGACTGACCTGCTGTTCTGCTGCCCTCTGGTGGCCACTGTCACAACCCACATATAGTTTTTATGAAAGGCAAAACTACTTTAATGAAATACATGAAATAGAATAGATCATATTTGGATCTCTGCTGTGGTTATTAATGCTATGAATAAATAGCATCTCCCTAATGCTTGGATCTCCCCAATAAGAACTCTGATGGTTACATACCGGTAATAAATACATAATGATTGAAACATGACAGTCGACCAACAAACATGGATCAGAAGTGTTTGCCCCAGAATCACCCAACACTCTCAAAAGACAATAAGGAAATTAAAGGAGGAAATAATTGTTCACTAATTATTAACAACTGCTTTGGAACATCCAGGAGTGCTTGCCCTTTATAATAAGTTGCTGAGATCACTGGGCATCAGCCGCTGCCATATATCTATAGATTTTATAATTTCATTATTCTTGAAATTCTTGACTCACCTTGATACAGCTGGAGACTTTTTGAATTTATCCAGTTAAACAGGGCATTTTCTTAAAACGATTTTCTTTCTTTCACTTACTCATTTGCCTTAGAACTGTGCAAATCTGGTTTATTCATGATCTACCTGTCAATCTAGACTTAATAACACAGGAATCCACTGAGTTGTGAATATTTTTGTGTTGTCTTTGGAGTTTCTTATTGTGTAAGTGTTACAAAGAAAACAAAAATGGCCCAAATACATTCTTCTAAAACAGCTTCCAAAATCAGCCATGTTCCTTTTGGGAGCTTCAGAGAGGGTGTTTGATATCATTGGACATTTCAGTAATATTCAACCACAGCATGAGTGAATGCAGGTGAAATAAACCACCCGCTCACCTGGATGTCACATAAAACCTATAGTTTATTCATTTTCAGTAAAATGTTCACATAGTAAAACGCAGCTTTAGAAAAGACGTGTAGCTCCAGCTATCTGAAGGTTGAGGGCTCACGAGGGGGAGACGTATTGCTTCATGGTCGACTCTTTTTTGTTCCATTTACAACAGATAAATAATAAGAACATAACAACAGTAAGCCTATATTTACACATCAACAATATAACAATAGTACAAAGCCTTCAATGTGTCCTGTCTTGCATTGTGAACTTTGTTTTTCTATTAACATGCAAACAGAATTTGAACATTGTTATAAAAAAACCTTTACACAGTTATGACAATGATAAAATACTGAACACAACCGCCTGTGATTTTCTCAAGCGTCATCACACCACTTGCTCCTCTGCTGCCCTCAAGTGGCCATAAAACACAACACATACTTTGACATAGCAGTGCAGCTTCAAACCCACCAACATCTTTTTCTTCTCATGTGTGCAAGTGTTAAACCTCTGGCACATGAACCCAAATATTTTGTCACCTTTAAAATACATAAATAAACAATATATTACAATAAATAATTCATACAGCACAAGTATTCTGCTCCGTGGACGAGGTGGAGCAGAGGTGTGCATGTGCACGTGTGTGTGTATCATGGTTAATTGTAAATATGACGACCACAAGGCCTCTCTATGACACTGAATACGAACTAACCACAGCTCTCTTATCAGCTCTCTCAGTCACGTAATCACTGACTTGGTTTCACAAAAAGTATCTGAAGAAAAGTTTTCCTCTCACAATTAAAAAGCTGAATAAAGCCCAATTGTTGCCGAAGTTAGCACAAGCTGGAGTTTTGTTGCTAACCCAAAAACTAGTGGAATGATTACCACAAAACTTGGTGGATTGATGAGGTGAGGCCCGTTAAATTTTGGTTCCACATCAGGGGGCAGATCCAGGATTTCTTTTTGACGTTCCTTTGTACTGTGATAAAGGGCATTTTTTAACATTTCAATTGATTTCACAGAGACTAATTCATGGATCTTGATTTTTTTTAAACGGACATGTTGAGGGGATTTGTGTGCACTTTGATGCAGATCAGCATCAAAATCTGGATTGATTCTTGAATCAAAGAAATTCAGATCTTCCTTGACCCAGCTGAATCATCATGGTCTGCAAGAGAGAGCAGCTCTGTGTTTTGAACAAGGCTTCGTTTTGAAATGATGGTGATGATGAACACTTGTGGCAACAAACATTTCTACTGTATTGCACTTTACCCCCATGCTTCATAGCTATCTAAACAATGCAAGACATGCATCACTACGTAAGTTACATTTAGGAATCTCAACCTCGGATGGTTCCTCCTACTCAGCAGAAACGCACCACTGAAGTGAGTGCATGAACAGACGCAGGGCGAGAACAAAAGAATACAAACACAAGTGAGGTCTGGATTTGAATGGATCATCATCTATCATATATCATTTCTTAATAATTCCCCTCATCTCCTGCTGCATTTTGGTTCTGATGATGACAGTGACCCAGGGTTAGAATTCCATTTACACGTCAAACTGGTTCCTCTGGGATTTGAATGACAAATAGAAGCTTTTCACGAGTCGTGGATGTGTCAACAGGAATACGTTGCCAGAATATGAGAACTATCTGGATTGAGAAATGAGAATTTATTCTCCCCAATATTTATTTAGAATTATAAGAACAAAATTAGAAGTTTTGAAAAATCAATGGAGGAAACAAAGCTGTAAAACTCCCACCAGACATTCTTACTATAAGGGAGAAAGTATGTGCACTTGTGCTTAATCTGTTATGTCCACAACCTGTGTTTCTTTTCAGACCGTTTACATGTGATCTCTTCGGAATGAAGTAATCTTTTCAGTCATTAAGAACAAATAATAAAAGGTTCAAATCCGCTCATGAACAAGATTTTGTGGAATAAAGCAATTTTTTTAACTGTGGTGCAGTGCTTTGACTTTAACTCAAGGATTTAAAAAGAAAGGGAAAAACTACTGGGGCTGTATTTCCATAGCAACCCATGATGAGAGGAATAACATCGTATATAACTAGAAAATCAGTCATCATAATGTCAGAAAGCATCTCTACAAGGAGTCAGATCTGCTTCTCATGATCAAGGACCAGACGTCATTTGAGAACTCTTTCAAAAAGAAACAAATCTGTGATTAAAAATAGAAAATAAAACCAAGATTTCCACATCACGTCTGTGCTACAGGACTCAACGTGACATTTGGCACTGAAAAATGTATAGGTCCATATTATATACAATGTAAAATAATAAGTATCTATTCACAGAAAAAAAACATCATCGAGAAGAGAGCACGAGGAGTGTTTGGCTAAAAGTCAACCAAGACTTTACAATGAAATAACTCTTCAGTATTTAACAACAGTGTTTGTGACACGCTCAGGAGAGCTTCAGTGTTTCAAAGCTCACGAGTCGGACAGAGGAAACCTCTCAAAACGCTCTGTTCACATGCCAGGAATGACACACCGTTAATGTTGCACCTTTTGTCACTGAGGCTGCACGTTTTTAGTCAAAATACAGAACTTCAGTGAGAAAAAGTTAAAAAACGTGTTGAATAATATGCTACAGTACAATAACTGAACCTACACCTACATAACTAAAGCATGTATCCTGCACATATATGCATCAAGAGGCAGATATGTGGTATGCAGATTAAATAATACGACACCGTCAGGTTATAACCACAGAGCGTTTGTGACTGAAATGATGGTTCTCGCGTCCTATTTGACCTCCAGAGGAAACTGACGAGACATTGACAGAATTAAAGGAAACGTTCTACCTGCCGGACAGGCTCATAAATAACCAAAAGCTCATCACAAGAACAAAACCAAGGGCGTATTCAGTCCAATAGATACTGTACAAACTAATTACAGCCTCCTTTACCGTCTCTCTCAGTTTGGTAGATCTCTGAGCTTCTACACAGACTCTCTTCCAATAGACTTTAAAAACACTTTAAAAGCACATATCCAGTGTTTAAAGCCGAGTGCAGCTCTGTGTCTTTGTGGGTTTCACCACTTGGCAGCAGTGTGTGTGCGTGAGTATGTGACATTGTGTTGTACAGTGTCCTCCAAGTCACAGACACTAGGATTTCCATTGCGCTGTGTCCAGTGGGTTTGTGTGTCTAAGCGCGTGGCTCCAGTTTGTGTGACAGCTCAAAAAGAGTCTGCTGATTGTCGATGATGTGCAGGTAGTTAACACTCGCCCTCACCTCCGCACTGTCCACCCCGATTACCTCGTTGCCTGGGAGACAGACACAAAATACATGCGTCAGTCATGAGTTTTCTTCCTTTGTCAATAACACACACATTCACACACTGTTGTGGACATACACAGAAAATAATAGACTGGAAATGGTTGCTTAGAAACTGTAAGGGAAGAGAAAGAGTTTAAGGGATGGGTGCAGTACACTAACTCAACTGCAGATGGCGTCAGATACCTCACAATGAATAGACTAATACTCAATTCATACAACACTTCATCAGAGACAGTGAAACTCACCTGGTTGGTCGCTCTGGCAGTGGCGAATCATCCTCACTGTGTCTGCGATCATATGCTGTTGGTGTAGGAGACATGTCGCATCAATGCAGAGCCAAAACGTCACATTGAAATATTTGTATAGGAACATAGCAATGAACAACATGAACGATTTTTTTTCTTTTTTATTCTTTTTTCAGAGAGAAAAAGTGTCAGTCCTGTCTCTTGTGCAGTGACTCCTTTATCTCCAGCAGCACTCTCTTCTCCATTACTGCTCTCTGCCTCCTGCAGCACTTTTCTACTCTCAGACATGATAAATGTACCCTTTTTAATAATGTTGATTATGCTTTTGTAGTGACCAGAACTCATTAGCCGGCCAGTAATCCTGTTTCAGTGTTTTTCTCCTGGCACCACTCAGGAGTGATTCTACTGCTGAAGATTAACTTGGCAGTGATGCGCTTAAAGCAACGCTCCCGAAACAGGTTGGATTTAAAATCAAAGTAGCTTTAACAAAGGCAAAAAAACATAGCTATGTCCAAGTTGTAGAAAGTAAAAATGTTTAAAATAGTAATAGAAATGCCGCCCTGTCGTTGTATGATTCCGCCAACCAGTGCAAATTCAGTCCGTAAACATTTGACCACAGACTTAAGATATCATGTTCAAGAGGACAAAAACATGCTTTGTGAGCTCACAGTGAACTTAAAACTTAAACTTTTGCCACCCAAAATCTAATCATTTCATCCTCAAGTCCAACTGAATTTTTGTACCAAATTTAAAGAAATTCCTTCATGGCACTCTGGAGATATTGTGTTCTGCTTCCTTGGGTAACACACCAAATAAATGACTGCATTTATATCAGTTTTATCATTTATGTGATTGATCAATCAGTCAGTCAGCTGTTAATGCACCTCATCTTGTTCTCTGTAAATTCACTTGAGGGTTAATCAAGGTAAGATTCCTGAAAAGGTCAGACAGTTTGAGAGAAAAACTCACCAGCTTCTCAAAGTTGACCAAGTTGTCATGGAACGTCTTATTTCCCTCGTGGATAAAGGTTATATCTAAGAGCAGTGGACAGTCATATTAAAGTTTCATTCATCAGTGTGTGTGTGTGTGTGTGTGTGTGTGTGTGTGCGTGCGTGCGTGCGTGCGTGCGTAATGATACCTTTCAGGAGAAGAGGCATGAAAGGGATCTTGGGAGGTTTCATCCTCTTGAAGGCTTCCCTGTAGGCTTTGTGGTTCAGAGACGGATCCTGGAGAAAGACAGGAAGAGAGAGAAGAGTGTAGAAGAAAAAGGAAGAAAAATATTTGATTATCACATCAAAGGAAGAACATCTTTCACACTGCATTTATCTCATTAAGTCTCACCGTGATGAGCTCCAACTCTGAGAAAAGCTTCTTGAACTTCCCCGGACATTTCTGAAAGGAAGGTGTATGGTCAGGATAAGATTAATGACAAAAAGTATGTGTATGAATACACTAAACAAAACAACACATACACAGACACACACTTACCTCCCAGGTTTGGTTGAGTCTACTGACAGCTGCTGTGTTGAGACCCATGATGATGGCAAATGCAGAGTTCAAATTTCTTTGGGCTTTGCAACTAAGCAAACAAGAATGTGAAAAATATTATCAAAGTCAAATCTTGATTTTTCCAATAAATATACATTCATTTTAGTTTGAGTTCTTACTGAGCAGCGATCTTGATAAACTTCTTCAGCAGCTGCACTCTCTTGTTTAGAGAGACGCACATGAGCACCTCGGACATGACCCACTGCTGGACCTCGTTGCAGCGCTGGAGAAGGAGTGAGAGCGCTGTCGTGTGGCCGGAACCAGGAGCACGGCTGAGGGTGTAGTACACCAGCTCCTGCTGCGGGTGGAAAAGAGGAATAAGGCATGTGAGTGAAAGACATCAAGCTTTTCAGAGGAATGCATCCAAATATATCTACTCTTCCAGAAGCCTATGTGACATCTTAATCAACTGGTTTTGTCCAAAATAGTCAAAAACCAAATACAAAGGTCATTTTAAATCATATAATAACAGAAAAGCAGAGTATGCTCACACTCGAGATTGAGAATCAAACACAAAACAGTGTCTACATTTTCTAAAGAGTCGGTTACATTTGCATCTTTAATGCCCGTGTCCCAGCAATCTCTGTCAGGATTATGAATTTATTATAAATGGCTGTATGTGAACACACTGTATGCATATATTTGTGAGATCCCATTCAATTTCTAAACCTGGCCGATATGACCCTTTCACAGACAAGTATGCATCATTGTGCTGATATGAAAACCTTTATTTTACATTTGGGCTCTAATTTTTGGTTAAATGAGTTCAAACCTCATGGATGGATTTGAAAAGGCTCCAGTCCAGATGTGTTAGAGCAGCCGCCACGTCCCAGGTGTTGATGCCTAAGAGTCGTACGGGCCTCCTGCTGAGCTCCCCACTGTCTGTTAAAGGAGGCTGAGTATACAAGCACACAAAGAAAAGTGAGTTAGAAACTGTATCTAAGGAAAGAGCACTATTTCAAACAATGACAACAATATTGCAGCTTCCAAATAAACTTCTAGTTACATGACAATTTGTTCTGTTCAAATTTACTTATATTTTACTGTATATACTACATTTCTAAAAGTTGATATTAACTCAGCAGATAATATGCAAAATAAAATAGATATTACATGTCAACAAGACAAAGGGTAGTTGGTTTTTTACTTGGTTTACTGTATATAATCTACTGTGTACTTAATGGCAGGCAACTAAATGTACATATCCAACAAGAAAACTGTGTAAAATGCCAAATAGTGCATGGATTCACAGCTGAGGCTCCTGTCTAAGAAAAATACGCCAATACAGAACAACACTTGCCCTGATACAGCACTTTCCAATTCTGCTGTCACACAGTTGGGCATCAAAATAATTGTAGGTCGCACCTTTTCTTTCCTATTGAGTCAAAGTTAATAACCATCACCTGACCTGAGTCTCTCCAGCTTGTTTATATTGCATGACTCATTATAGCACAGTGAAAATGTATCAGCTGGGGAGATAAAATATTAATTTCCATGCTCGATTTCACCGGAGGACAATACACAGGTTAACCAACAGTATCAGAGGCAGCAAATGACCAAATAATCATTTCTTTGAGAGGCTGTGGTTTGTTTGAAACCTGCCAGCTGCACTTTATACACTTCTGTCAGCGTATACAAAACACATGGAAAGATGGAATGATATGGAACAATAGAAACACAAAGAACAGTGCATTTACATACCAAGATCTCAGTGAGATCCCTGCGACAGGCCACAAGCTTTCCCTGGGGGGTCAGAGACTCTGAATACACACAGTCACTGGGCTGTAACACCCTCCGCTCTGCAGAAACCACCATTTAAAGAGAAGAGAAGGGAAGAAGCAGAGAGGAAATGATGATGGTAATTTAGAGCCAAGAGTGTAGAACAGTGATCCTCAACCAGGGCACACTTCTAACCCGAGGGGTACTTCTGTAGTTGCTGGGGTGTATGGTGGGTGGAGCAGTTCAACTAATCTAAAAAATAAATAAAATAAAAAAAGTTATGATTTGATTTATAAGAAAATGATGTTTGACCTATGACTGTTCACTACATGAGAAAGCAGTAGCTATAACTATATTATGACAAAGCTACTCTGCGCTCATGGGTCACCACACCCATCTTCAAACGCCTTCTTTTTGAGCTTAACTTCACACCTACAAAGTTTCGTGGCTGATACTATAGCAGTGACAACATCTGTCCACACACAGACTTACAACCATCTGAGACAGAACTCAAAACCACCTCTGTGGTGGTTCCTTCTACAGTAGGTGTCTCCAAGACCACACGTTGCCATTATGACACATACACACAGAGATGCATCTGTATATTGATTCAGCAGTAAAACCTGAACACAGTTTTTCATGCACACATTGAGCATGTAGTTGAGTATACAAGCAGAGAAGTATTAAAAGTTCACCAAGTAACAAATGGATAACAGCAGAAATAGGTAATGTAAGTAATTGATGAAGTGTTGTAATAGATAAAAGCATGGGTCAGTGATTAAAAGTGATACTGAAGTAGCCAAAAGTGATAACTTAACCAGATTGACCAAACACTTTTTGATTGTATTAAAAATAGTGTGATAATATTGACAACATTGAGTTTATAATCCTTTGACAAGAACATATTTGGAACATGGGGGTGGTATCATCAGGGAAGGAACGGATGTAGATAATTGCCTTTTAAAGGGAATTTAATATTTGTGTTAACTGTGTTGTTGGTGCATTACTTCCGTGTGTTTGTGTATGTATATGTGTACCTCCGGTGTGTGAAACCACTGCTAGCAGCATGTCCTCTTCTGCTCTGTCCATCTTCTGACCAATGATCCTCAGCAGCTCATGGGCCTCCAGTGACGGGTGTGTGTGGACACTCAAGTAGGAGTCAGCGCTCACGTACACGCAACAGATGACTGAAGAACACAAGTATTTACAGAGAGAAGTTTGAGTTTGTGTTTGTCATGTAGACAAGCGGACAAACTGAGTTCCCTCTGCTGAGGCAATTTACATATGCACATGAAAATGAAAACCCACAGGTGTTCCTTATGCATATTTGTGTATTGTCCTAGACAGTGTGTTGTGTAAGGTGTGTGCATGTGTTTGTGTCTCTTACTCACCCTCTCTGGTGTCGGTCTGCTGACTTCTGAGGTGCAAACTGTTTTCCTTCAAACTCAGCTGTTGATACATTTGTTTACTCTGACAGAGAGAGAACAGAAGAATGTGTTTATACGTCACCGAATATTGTGATTCGCTGAAAGCAGCTGTATCAGTGCCTACACAACGCTAATTTAATGTTTGGTGGTACTTAGAGGCCTTACCTTTTGGTTGGGAGGACAGTCATCCACAGTGCTACAAGAAACAAGTAATACAGTAAGGACAGGATAGGCATGAGTGGAAAAACAGAGAACAAAAATCCTTGTGTGGACATATATATCCACTTACTGTCTCCGACGCAGGAGTTTCTGGAACTCCTTCAGATCTTTCTCCAGGGTAGGGAACTCATACAGATCTTCTAAAACACACCTGTACAGAGTCTGACAGAAGGGGAGAAAATAAATCCCAGATTCATAGCATTACACCCACAATCTCATGTTAGCACTTGTTAACTGATGGTAAAATATTTGTTTGATGTATGAGAATGGGTGGCACCTGACTACAGAAATATCATTTGAATGCGTCAGACTTTGTGTTTTGGCTGCGCTCAGACTTTGGCTCAACTTTTCACCACATACAGACACGCCAACCATTACACTACATTGGCTTCATATCAAACAGTTATCTGACTTGTGGCTGGTAACAAAACATTACACACATTTGAAGGGAGAGAACAAATGTCTTAACATATCAGAATCACAATGAGAGGCAGCATTTCAAAACCAAAGCAAATAGTACATCCCTATGGATAAATAACACTGGAGGGCCTTATATTGTCAAAGCCACTTACCAAACCTTTGGCGCATTTTAAATTGTTAATTGGTAAGGGACGCAAACAAGATTTTAAAGGGGGCTGACCCCAACACTTCCAGGGGGATCGATGAGCCAAAAGTTCAAATTCAGACACTTTCCATGATTTTTATTTATGAGAAACAATCTCAAGGGGGCCTTTTGGAATATAAAAAAAACACACAAATCATTGTATTGTTCATGTCCATATTGTGTAAAAACATTCATAGAGTGGGGTGGAAAAAAATTTGGGAACCCTTTGGCTAATCAACAAAAGCTAATTGAAGCTGTAAACAGGTTTATGTCCCCATAACATGAGTAATACCTGGACCCAACACGCATACACATGCACGCTCGTATAAACACGCACGCACACACATACCAACCTGATTATCATTGTCATTGACCCACCATAGCCTCCCATCACAATTACCCTCTCGTTCCTCTGTTACTAGGCAACTATCACCTGGGTTACACACTCCATATGAGATTATACCCATGCCAAACCTCGCACTTTGGTTACCATGACAACCCAACATAGGGCAATGGAGCCGTCAGGTTACAGAGGGACAAGTGATTGGTGAGTGTATGATTTGGGTAAGTGTGGAGACGTGCGCATGTGTGATCATGATATCTGTGTGTATGTGGCACAGTTGTCAAATCTGTTTAGGCTGTTAATGTATCTGCTCTTTTTTTCTTCTTCTATATTTTCACATTATTTGTTTCCTCTTAGATACACTCCATCGTTTTTCAGATGTTACATTGTATTTTTTCTCTCTATGAGTTTGTTCCTTCTGATGTGATGATAAAGACAAGTGGGTCCATACCTTCATAAAGCTCCTGACGTGCTCCTCATCCTTGAGGAAGTCCTTGTAAAGCCTGCTCCAGTGGGACACCAGCTGCAGTACCTTACGTTTCCTGAAGAGAGCGTCCTTGCCCTCCTCCTGACCCCTGCAGCGGACACTGCTATAAGTGAGAGCGGTCAAGGAGGCAACATACGTTAGTGTGGAGGCTGAACGGATGCGAGTATGAGAAACATTCTGCATGTGTTTGCCAATAAGGATATTGTCCCAGAAGGGCCTGACAGAGGTCACTGGTGGACATGAAGACCAGGTAGGTCAACAGGAAGTCATCCAGCAACATTTCTGTAACACAGGAAACACACCATCAATCACTTCATAAGCCTCAACACATAAAGCACAAAGTGGTCCAAGAGAAATCTTCCTTCTTCACGCTTTTAGCTACACAAGGTTTGTTACTAACAGGCAGCAGATTGCTGACAGGTTCGCAAGAAAAAAAGCAAGATATTATGTAATATTTAGGTTGCTTACTGTCAAATCCAAATATGCCCTCATAGTTCTGATTAAGTGTCAAGATGCTAAATGTTACTGTTATTTTTCAAAAAATTCCCAAAAAGTTGACTGGTTATTTTTTGTTTAATGTTATAGAAAAATAGACATGGGGTTTTTCAGAAACCATGAAAAATTCAAGAAAACATTTTCATCACTAGGAGATGGAGGCTCATGTTCCAAATAATAAATTCACAGTAGAGAAAGTTAATGACTAAGTGGGACGCTCCGTGTGTGTCTGTGTGAGCATGTGTGACTCAGCAGGTGTTCAATGGGTAAGAACCGAATATAAACTGCCCTCATGGCAGATGGGTAATGAGCCATTGTTGGTGGTTTTGTGTGTGTGTGTATGTGTGTGGTGTCAAACTCTTTCCCTGGCAAAATGTGTGACCCAAATATGGCTCTGTCAGGCAGAGAGCACAGAAATCAATTATAGAGGACTGAGTAGAGGTCGTGGCATTAATATTTGAAAGAGTCTCTTCTTTTTAGAAATAAGAATACAACTTTACTCAAGAGATATTTCCAGGCAGGTCTGACTGAGCTCATCACTCCTCAGGAAACACTAGTAACTTTCCTGTCTTTGTATCTGTCCTGAGCCCCCTCCTCTAGTCTGTGGCTACAGAGCCCTTTCTTGACTAGTCCTTTCCCTGCTTTCCAATTCCCTCTATCACTGTTTCACCCCCTCCCCGTCTTTCACTACAACCCTGTTTTTCATTATCTTCTTCTCAGTGGATACATTTCCCCCCGCTAGTACTCTCCTGCGCTCATCCTCTCTCAGCTCCCTGTGATGATAAATATCAATTTTCATCCTCAACATATGCCCTCTACATTTGCCCGCTGGCACACACAAGTCAAACACATACACTCATAAACACAGCGACACTAACTCTCACACACATACGCACACAGCACCCTGATGAATTACTCATACAGTTCTGACCTTGGGGAGTTTATCTTTTGTGAGAGAGAAAGAGAAAAAGGGAGAAAATGTCTCTGTGTGTTGAACTAATCGCACTAATCTGCTGCTGTGTTTTTTTTTGGTGATGTGTGTCTATGTGTTTTTTGTGTGCATGGCGTGGGGTGGTTGCGGTAATCGCTCTCTCTCTGTGGAAGCGTGTTCATGCCTGTTCAACATGCTGCACAGCTAAGCCCACTAAAACGGCACACTGATGCTCAATACCACCCCAGAGGGCCTGCCTACACACACACACACACACACACACACACACACCCTCATGCTTATTCAGTGCACACAGATCGAAAAATAGAAAAAAAAAATAGAAAGAAAAAAAAATTGAGAGACAAACGCAGTCGATCATGTACATACAGTCTTAGGCTGCATCTTTGCTCCTGAATCTCCCTCCAAATCAAAAATAAACCTAAACCTTAGAAAAGTGTATTTTTTTCTCTTCAGTGAAGAAATATCAGGCGTTCTTCCTCCACAAAGACCATCTCAGTTCTCAGTTCTCTCTCTCTCTCTCTCATCCATCCCTCCTGCTTTCTTTGCTTCCTGCAATTCAGTGAGATGGCTCCCTGTGGGCTGCTGGAAACTGGTGGTGCTGAGGAGTTGATACATAAAGACGCCTTATCTTAACTCAGTGCAAACAGGCAATAGCAGTGTGTAAGAAAAAGCCAATTGAGACCCAGATGACCCTGAATTATTTTGATGTGTAGAGAAATTATTGTCTTCAATAGCAATATTTTAAGACAAAAGGGGCACATACGGTCGTCAGTGTTTTATAAGGTAAGTGGGAAAGCTGTTGTTTGTTTCTTAACCTGGAAACGGGCTTCTCCTGCTTTTTTCTGCTGTATTTAACCTCTTGCATGTTTCTCATATTTCCTGGCAATAACATGGATTAGTGTACACACACATGCACCTGGAAGTGGTGCAAGGGCTGACACACACACGCACGCACACACACGCACACATGCGCACACACACACACACACACACACACACACACACACACACACA